GGAGACGTACATATATATATATATACAGAAAAAAGAAAGATATTATGACTATCTTAGGATTACCACAATTGGATTGGCACAAATATAATTTTCTTCCTTTCTTTGGTCCTTTTTTTTGCTTCTTTCATATGAACCGAAGAAAGGAAGAAAAAAATGGAAAAAGGGGAATAAGAAAATTTAAATAAATATATTAATTGTAAGTATAAAATTTACGTGTAAAAGTGCGAGAGAGAGAGAGAGAGAGATAATGATTTATTAGAGTTCTAATTTTATTATTTTTACACTTTACCCAATCTCGAATAATGTAAAGTCCATTTTAGAATTTTTTTTCTGTTTTTCCTGTCTCCTCGCCTTCCGTTCGATTTTGCAGAAGAAAACGTGACGCTTTGAGAAATTCTTAATCATACGCTCGAGTCAAGTGCTTCCTCGTAATTCGTGAAACTCTCGAGAGGCTCTATATTTTTTCTACCCTTTGGTCATTCATTCAATCCTCTATGGCTACTCTAGTGTACGAAGATTGTTGATTGTTTTAAGCCTGCGTCGGAGAAAGCACTTGCGTACTTGATGAAGAAAAAAAAATTAATTAATTTAATGTACACGATGAAAGCACGATTAATTTTCCCAAGGCGTTACTTTACGGCCACTTTGGTGCAGTTTTAGTTATCTTTTTCTTCTCCTAATATATTTTTTTTTTTCCTTTTNCCTGGACCCCGCACAACCTTTGATGCGAACTTTCGTTTATTAACAATTAACTCTTACTTATTTAAAAAATTCCCTACCTTACCGACTACTTTTTTAGACTTTATTTTATAAAAATGAAATCATACTCAATTTTAAATAAGTGATGCAAAATACGAGTTACCGTTCTTCTTCATGACATCTCAATCAATAATCATAGTTTTATATATACAACACAATTTATAAATAGGGATGTTCACTAATATCTACACTGCAGTCAAGATATTCTAGCATACCAGCATTAAGTTTTTGTTCGTACTCAACTATTCTAGTCAATACACTATTCGAAACACCTCCGTTATTTTTTAACAGAGGTTGCAATATCTTAGAATTCATTTAATTTTAAGGTGTTGATATTTATTATATTTTTAAACAAGAAATTAACTGTNATAAAAAATATTATAATAATAACAATAATTCACGATTTCATTTTGATGCCATTCACACCACACGTCGTCCTTCGCCCTTCGTCCTCCAATGTAAAGTCGAGGTAATTATAATGATGGTTGGGTTGTTTTATTTTGTGCAATAAAATACCATAAAAAATAAATTTAAAAACATCAATATATATATACTCTGGCATGTTAATCGTGTACCTACGGAGTTTGTTTATGCTCTCCCCTCGAGTTTGTCCATCAAATCGAGGGTGTTTAGCTTCAAGGTGAGGTAGCCACCGGACGTTATGTTTTTCTTCAAATCGAGACTCAACCCGGTGAGCGGCGACGCCGGGTCCGTGAACACTCGCTGAATGTCTATGAGCGGCAGCAAACTTTGGCCCGCGTCCTTTGTCGTGAAGCCCGTCGGCGTGAAACGCGTATACTTGCTCGCTATCCCGTCCAGTTTGTTGGTCACGTTCACGTAACTCGGCAGGTCCAGGTTATCGAGGTCGACTTTTTTCCTGCGGTTCGTAGTTTTGTCAACTCGATTAATTTTTGTCCAACTCCTCCAAACAGATCGCGCGCTCGGCGTATTTTATAATAATTTTTATACCTCTGGTGCAACGGCACAATGGAAGAGTACCAGTACGAGTATTCCGGGGAGAGCCGGCCAGTGGGGATGTCGTAGGGCGTCGACTGTATCTCCAGCTTGATAAAGTGTTCCGAGCCGTTTCTGTGGGTCGTGAATCTCACGCCCGTTACGATCTCCGAGAGCTTAGGCAGCCTCAGATCGTCCAGCAGTATGCCCCGTCCGTTGAACCACTCGAGCTTCAGCTTTTTTTCCGGCCTCGTTAGATTGGCGATGCAATAAGTCACGTTGTTCCAGCTGGTTGAGTTGTTTTTCACCCAACCGTAGGGCAACAGCTTACCTTGCTGCACTTGCATGTAAAGCGTGTTGTTTTGCTTGACGAACTGCACGCCCGTGACGACGCTGTCAAAAAGGCAAAAATTTCTCTCCACACATTTTTTTTTTTTTTTTTTTTTTTTCCATCACTTACTAGTTGTTGTCGACGTCAGACGTCACAGAGTCCAAACTGATGTACCTCTCCGACTGGTGGTTCTCGTTGCAGATGCAATTGCAGCTCTTACATATCGTTGGCCTTATGAATCCCCGCGTGTACGTCTGAATGAGCCTGTACACGTCCTTGCAGTTTCTGTTGTAAAACGGATTGAAGCTGAACTCGTTCGGCAAAACGAAGCTGTACCTGCGCCCGTACGTTCGGTCCTTCTGCAATGCCATTTCATAATTTGGTGTTTTTTCAATGCGTGCATACGCATCAGCTTACCAAGATGCAAACGTCATACGAGTCCTTGAAATCCACTTGGTTACAGGCGATGACGTTGTTGCAGTGACGCTGGGGCAGATAGCACTCGTGCTTTTTGCACAAGGGGGCGACCGTCGCGTTGGCCTTTGGACAGATCCCGTAGCAGTTGTCGGGACTTTTGCTAAAGTCAGACTCGTGGTACAGTATTCTCCGGAAAACGTTCTTCAGCTCGACGTAAGTTTTGTCTAAAAAGAAGAAAAGAAAAAAAAAAAAAAAACAACAAAAAATGCCGCTGATATGTGATTGCGCGTCTTGAACCAACTTTCTTTGGGCCTTTCGGGGTCGCATCTGTACATCTCCCGGGACGCTCGTTTGATCACTTTGTCCAAGGTCCCCGTCAACGCGTCGACCCTATGCTTCGCCTCGACGTACGCGTCCCTCCGGACCTTCTCGAAATTACTAATCGCCTCCTTCTTCATTTCCAGGACGAAGCTTAGGGTCACGTACCCCTTGATCTCGTACGACAGCATTGAGAGGAAAAACTCGTAAAAGTACTGCCGCCGGGACTTGGTGGACCGACAGAGGGGCTCGAACTCCTGGGAAAAAGCAAAAAAACAGTGCCGCGTGGATACGTCGCTCGTGGCAAACGTTTCATCGAAAAATTCACCTCTATGTGGGTCTCCAGGGCGTCAACGATGTTCCGGCCCTTCCACAAAACGATCTTCCCGAGGCTCTTCTGCAGCCGCGCGTTAAGCCCCGTGTTCCGGTCCAGGGCCTCCCTGAAGAGCTCCTTGAGGGCCCGCGTGACCACCACCGGGCCGGCGAGCCTCCTGTACTTGGCCAGCTCCTCGCAGGTGTTCTCGACGTTGACGACCATCTGGTAGACGTCGTAGATCTCGCGCCTCATGTAATCTATCTTGTCGCTGTCCTTGGTCACGTTGATCAGGCGCATCATGACCTTCTTCAGCACCCGGCTGAACGATATGCTGGACACTTGGCGCCTCAACTCCACCAGGTGGTTCTCGTCCAAGCCCAGGGTCTCGTTCTCGTTGGCGTACAGCTTGTACAGGTAGAACTCCGTGAAGTTGAAGTGCGCCGGTGGCGCGCCGCAGCTCACCTCCTCGTTTCCCGAGCTCAGCCACAGGACCAAGATAAGCGCACACGTCCACCGTATTCCGAGCATTGTTTCTCTTTTCTTTTCTTGTTTCTTTTTTTTTTTTTTTTTCCTTTTTTGGGCTACAAGTGACAAAAGTTGCCTCGTTTGCCGGCTCGGGGAGACTTTAGTCCGTGCGCGGCGAGCCGAGCATCAGCTGCGTTTGGCGTGGAGGAGACGTACGAGGGGGAAAAAAAAAAAAAAAAAAAAAACAAGACTATTCGGCGGACGCAAACCGACTGATGCACTTGTCCATACGTTGGCTCCATAATAGTTCGGAGCGATGGAAATATTTGACATTGGAGGGACTGATGATTTCATTGCTACTGCGATCAACGTGAATTGATTGATCCTCGCCATCATTTCCGTTTTTAACGCCAATGTGTGTGAGCGCGCGCGTCCGTGTGTTCCTATGCGTGTGTATATACGCCGAACCACACGTGTATACGAGCTCTTCTGTCGGCCAAAGACGCGATAAGACCTTTTTTTTTTGTTGCGTTTGCATAATGTGACGTATGTACGTTTCGACTTATGTGCATACGCAAAAAAAAAAAAAAAAGAAAAAATCAATCGATTCGTTTTGCGGAAGGAAAAGGAAACAATCACAACGCAGTTAATACGTAAAGTCCAAAGTCACGACGCACATCGCGTTAAAATTAGCCCGCAACGGAGAGCACTTGCGATGAAATTGATCCCCCCCCTCCCTCCCTCAACTCAGAAACAGCGTACACATTGTTATTGCACATTATGGGGTTGAATAAGTATCATTACGTTTATTTTTGGAATATTTGTTTCTTCGTCTCTTTTTAATGAGTCAGGAAGGCCTGTAATTAAAAATGTAATTATATTTTTTGGTACGGCTTTTTGTACTTATACAAGTATTTACTTAACTTCAGTACTTTAGCGTGGTTCGTAAATTTCGATGTTTTTTACGCTAATTGTACGTACAACCGATCCGATGATAGGTATATTGTATGCGCACAAGTAGTACCTACTTAGGAGGTGAGATAAAAATCCATGAGTTGTTGAAAAAAAAAAAAAACCTATGTTAATTATCCCTAGCAGTTCAAGCTCGCGAAAGTGGTACACAGACCTGTTGGACCTTGAATGTTGATCAGGGACGTTATCGGTCTCCCTATTTGCCCTACATATCTTGATGAGAAATGAGCGTGTAGCAACCTTGTGCCTACTTTATTTTTACATTGGATTTAACATCAGAAGTCGAAAATGATTTTTTTTTTTTTTTTTTTTTAATAAGCACTTGCAGTAATTTTCAAATAAATTGCTATACTGTCCTTTCTTTGTTTTTCTCATGAATTAGCGAAGTGTATACCTACTACATCCGTGCGCACATGCGATGCGAGGACAGTTGCAAAAACCGACCCTCCGGACACTACGATGAATGGGTTGGAGGGTAAACGACAAAAACAACAAAGTGGACTTTGTGATATCGCAAAGTTCGTAATGTTAATTGTGATTAATAAAGCAGTCGTCATGTTGCTGGGGCAACGGCTAACAGATCGCCGCAAGAGCTTCGATAACACCGCGAGAAAGAAATATAATAGCGAACAAGAGAGTATATTATGTGTAAGGGGGGGGGGGGATGTGCGCAAAAAGGTGAGTCGTGGGTGAGCGGTGATTGCAAGAATATGTTGGTTATTTCATTTGTTGATATTTTCAAATATACGAAAGATTAGCACCTGGGGATGATTTTTAAGCAAGAAATATAAACCGCACCATAAATCACAGGGTGACCCGTACCGCCTTCGCGAATTACATTTAATGTTTTATTTTCTAATACATATAACTCGCCTATGGCGCGTTCACACGTTCGTACGCAAGTATAAGTATATACATGGGAAAAAACAAAATTAAATCTGAGTTTAAAAAAATTACAGTGAGGCTTGTTTTTGCAAAGACAGTAAGTATGGTTGTAGAAAAAAATAATTGCAGGGTTTTCAATTATTTTGTCGAACGATCTAAGTTGAGAAACGCAGTCAAACGTGATTAATAAACGTGCAGTGCATTATACTTTCTATTTAAATAAATGACGTAGATGTTTTTTTTTTTTTTTTTTTTTTTCTACTGCCTAGAGCAAAAATGTTTCGAAACTCTCGATTATATCAATATTAAAGTATTTCTAAAGAAATAAAGGAATTGATTTTAATATCATCTCGTCATGCTATTCGTTACCGTAACTTTTGTTTCAACGACTAAATATTTTAGCTATTGTCTTGACACTAATACCCGTTTCAGCAAAAATTAAACGTATGGAATACAAGGGCTTACTTTCATCAGTTGATGTCCATCAAATTATATCAATCTCGAAACTTGATAAATAAATAACATAGTTTTCTGATAGTAGAGACTCCGAACAATAAATTAAGGTACTCCTTTAAAGCTGGTAATGAGATAGGGTCTGTTTAAACAAAAGTATTTTTATTACAATGGGATGAAATTTAAGGAAATCAAGATGTTCGATATAAATTAACACTTGGTGACAAGCGCGTGCAGATTTAACTTACTACTATTTCGTGACTTTGGTGAAAGGTACCATTTTTTAGGAAATGTATTTTGTATGTGTAACAATTTATGGCCACCAACTATTTTAATCAAACTTTAAAGTAGTTTTTTATTTTTTTAAAATAAAATTCATCACGTTGCAAAATGGCAGTTTTCGTCACTAGTGCGCATCTCCTTCAAAGCAAATTTGCTAACAATAATGTTAACACCGGACTGAGAGCGCTTGAGAAACGATGCCCAAGGGAGCCTTGTGATTACCCTGGCTATTGACATACGCTATTCTTTCTATCCAATAAACGTTCAAATATTAAAAAAACAACCTGAGTTGAAAAAAAGGTTGAATGTATATTATGGATTGTAATTAACGCGATATAGGACCACAGCGATGTGATACTCAAAATATACTCAACGAATTAAGTTCGGAAGCTTTTGGAAATTTCTATAGATAGATTTTTTCAGTGCATTTTTCAGGGAATACGTGCAACATGAAAATATCAAACGTTTAGTCGATCAAGTCTAATCTAAATTTTTTGTTACTGTATTTTTTGAGAATACATGTAAAAAGTTTTGGACACAAGTACTTAAGAAAACAATTTTAGGAATGTAATAACTTGAAAAAAATAATTATGCTGTTTAATCTGTCAAACATTCGGAAATGGCCACATTTGTTTATAACATTCATTATAAAAATACACGAATACCTCGCTCGGCCTCTACATTTAAATGTTGAAATAGTCCAGATAATATATGGAATATTATTAATTACACACACACCCACAGAAACACGTGCTTAGTGGAATATTTTTTTCCGACCGACATGATTCTAAAATCACATGATGCAAAAATAGTAGTTTTCCTACGAGTTTGAAAAGTCTCTGTTTGCGAACCGAGAGGTTTGCGGCCCGAGCCGAAGGCGAGGGACGTAACGAGGTTCGTAAAGGAGACTTTTCGAACGAGTTCCGGAAAACTGCTTTTTCGCCCGAGGAAGTACCAGCCTCCCAAAACCACCCGAGGGCGGAAAATGTTATTTTTGCTGATATACATATAATGACGTTGTTGTTGTGATATCGATACTTACTGCCTATAGGCATGGTATTATTTCAACAACCACGTGAATTTGGAAAATTATGAAAATTAAAAAGAGAAGAAAAAAAATTGACGACAAATTCGCCAAACGAATTTCTTAAAAAAAAAAAAAAAAAAAAAAA